CCCCCCCCCGCCCCAGCTCTTCTGCCTCCTTGTGGCTCTTTGTCGTCCTCTTTGGGGTGAGAATTAGGTGTCATTTTTAAAACGGACTTCAATTTTTACAAAGAGAGACAGAGAAGGAGACGGAGAAACCGGCTGGAAAAGACTTTTTGTTTCCTTGAAGAGGCACTAAAGCATAAGAATCTCCTGGAGGAAACGGCACGCGGCTGTGATCAGTTCATTCTGGATCCACCCTTCTTTGGCAACCTTTTGGAGGAGACCCTGCCCCTCTGCCCTCTTTTTTTTTTTTAATCCATGCTTGGACCCCCCCCCAATACTGCCCTTGTCCTCACAGATCTGTTTTTGGCTTGCATTTTCCAGGACCTCCCCTCTTGCAACCAGGAAGGGACACAAGGGAGAGAGAGAGAGAGAGAGAGAGCGGCTGAATGGCACAGCTTCCCTCGACATTGTCGTTTCTGCCTGCTTTGGTGGGTTGCCCCTTCTACCCACGGAGATGAGCCATGGTGGGGATCTCATCAGGAGGATTGGGCCCTTTGCCCCTTCCCTGCAAACATCCAGGTCTGGTCATTCCAGCACTTCTTAGTCAGAGACACCTCAAGGTGTCCCTTTCCTGCAGTACCAGACATTTCCATTTTTTAAGTCTTTTTCTCCTGCAATCCCCCACCCACAACTCTGAAAGCATTTTTTCAGTTGCATTTATATATATTTCCTTGCTTTTCAGAGAGGTGTGAATGCTTAGTACCTCACCAGTAAACAAAATGCTATAATTCCATCTCAGATGAGCTTGGCTTCTTTTCTTACAGGATACTTTACAGTATTTAATATTTTTCTTCTCTTTCTTTCTTTTGCACACACCGCCGTTTACCAAACCTCTCTGTATCGATGACCTAGCAAGGCAAATTTTCTTTTCTTTTTTTCCCCAGATTCATGTATTTTCTTTGTACACTTTCCCTCCCTTGGATTTCAGTTGAAGGAGGGGGAAACCTTGCCCCAGAAGCGAAACCCAGATCTTGGATTTAATTTCTTTTAAAAAAAACCACTTTAAAATATTATTTTTTTATTGTTGTGAAGATGTCAGTTGTGACTTTAAAGTCGGTGTTCTTTTTTATTATTATTTTTCTGCAATGGAATAACGTTCTGATAGACTGAAAAATTACTTCTCTGTGGCCCAAAGGAAAGCCATCCTCATTTCCTCCATATCACCACCCTGGCCCTTAAGCACAGCATGGAAATACCTATTGTTCCCCCCCCATTCTGTCTCTTGCCTCATTAAATAAATTGTTACAGATGTGTCTACAACCAGCTGCTGTTGTTTCTTCTCTGTTCTGTGCAGATCTTAGAAAATTTCTTTTATTATTATTACGCTTCCAAAAATCCCTTACTGGCCATGCTGGCTAAGTGGGAATTCTGGGAGTTATAGTCCAGAAAACTAACTTTTCCAGACTCTAGTTCTGGAACAAAAGAGGTTTGTCTCCTAGAGTAGTGGTTCCCCAACCTTGGGCCTCCAGATGTTCTTGGAAGACAACTCCCAGAAGCCTTCGCCACCACCTTTGCTGGCCAGGATTTCTGGGAGTCGAAGTCCAAGAACATCTGGAGGCCCAAGGTTGGGGACCACTGTAGGACCCCAGAACACACAAAGAACCCTTCTATAAAGCAAGCTTCTGCTCCTCAAGGCTTCTGGGGAGGCCTATTTGAAGACATTGATGGAAGCCCTCAGCCCAAGCCACATCCCACTGAGAACAAAACTTTACCGGTCACTTTCGAGAGCTAGGTATATGGAGCCAATGTGACCAGGAGCAAGGAATGGCTGGATTCTACTTTGTTTATCCTTCCTTTATCTCCTGTGACAGTGTCACCCTCACCTGCCGAAACCTGCCCTCGTTGGTCCACCTTCTGCTCTCTCATCATCTCTACGGCTCTGCCTCCTGGCTCTTTGGGGGAAAACGGATGGATGTCAGATTCAGTACTTAAAAACAAACAAACACCGGTTTAATAAATGTGGGATACCCTGCTTCTGTAACCCACGATTCAAAAAGCCAGGAAATGGCCCAATTTGGTGCACCATATCGGGCCCGTGTGGCCAGCAGAAAAAACGTTGCCAAGCTTTACACAGCAAAAGGTATGGGTGAATGTGGACAACACCCATGGCAGCAGTCAAGATGGTCTATAAGATGCCCTCTTTGGTTCTCTGCCGTTCACAAAGTGACACCACCTGAGGGAAAATCCCAGAAGCAGACTCCTTTTTTCATCCGTTCACCACTTCTCATCCAATCAAAGCAATGGTCTGGGTTGTTTTTCAACAAGCGGGCACGGTAGTACGCCAAAGAGGGTATTCCGTAGACCATCTAGACTGCTGCCCTTTACTGTGTAAAGCTTGGCACCCTTTTTTCCTGCTGGCAAGGCAGACACGATTCTGTGCCGCAATATTGGGTTTGAGAAAAGGTGGTGACGGTGATCGATCGCAGATCAGAGCAGCCGCTGACGATGGGGATGGGCCACCGGTAATGGTGTCCATGCATGGCGAGTTTCAGGTTCAATCCTGGCATCTCTGGTTCTAAAGCAGGAAGGGGGAACCTCAGACTCTGGAGCTGAATCTGTGCCCCATGCCCGAGGTTCCCTCTTGGCCTGCAGGTCCCCCCGAGCCATCGCCCTTCTCCATGGCACCACAGTTAATTACCGGCTTTTATGCCGGTTACTTCCCATTCAAGAGCACTGGAATGTCTTTTCTAAGGCTGGAAGTTAAAAGGTGCTTGTGTTCCTGCCAGCCCCCTTGCCTCGGGCCTGTTCACCACGGACGCATGTTGTTGTTCAGTCATTTAGTTGTGTCCGACTCTTTGTGACCCCATGGACCAGAGCATGCCAGGCCCTCCTGTCTTCCATGGCCTCCCGGAGTTGGGTCAAAGTCATGTTGGTCGCTTCGGTGACCCTGTCCAACCATCTTGTCCTCTGTGGTCCCCTTCTCCTCTTGCCGTCACACTTTCCCAACATCAGAGTCTTTTCCAGGGAGTCTTCTCCTCTGACGCATACCCCTGCGTAAAAGGGATCCCAGCTAGAAAAGCCATGCTAAGATGTTGCTGTCAGTCATAACCAACTGACGCATACCCCTGTGTAAAAGGGATCCCAGCTAGAAAAGCCAAGAAAACCTCTGGCCGAGATGCTAAGATGTTGCTGTCAGTCATAACCAGCAATGTGATGGGCTGCTGGCTCGACTCAGCATGATGCCTCTTCACCTGCACGTCAGAATAAAGCTTCAAGGAGGTTGATGATCAGTGTGTTGGCACATTTTTGCATGTGTTTGCATAGCCTTGTGTTTCTAGACATATCCTTATGATATTTGGGAGGCATACACAGAATACTGAGTTTTATTTAAGAGCTATATTTTCTGAAGGGGGACAGCGTTCACACAACACTTTTGTTCCCCACCCCTGATCTCGCCTATCTGTTCCTGTGGGTCAGGGCATATGAAGAATTCCAGTGCGGAGATCCAAAGAAACGGGTGTGCCATCTCGCCTCCATCAGGTCTCTGTGTCGCCTAGATCCTCCCTAGATTTGGGTGGAGGAGAAAGAAAAACAGTCCCAGGCTATCAGAGACCCAGTTTTTCCTCTTTGAAAGATCTTCGCAGTTTTGTTCAAAGAACAGCAAGGGGTGAGAGTGAAACGGGACTTTGCGGGTCTCTGTGGGAAAGAGGGTGACGAGGTGGAACTTAGAAAGCTGCCTTAAGTCAGAGGCTGGGTCCGTTTTAGCCCAGTATGGTCAGCTCTGACGGGCAGCTGTAGCTGTCCGCAGCTTCAGAGGGGAGACCTCCCCAGCCCTCCCTAGAGGGGCTCTCCGTGATGGTCCCCCATTGAAGGACTCACCAGATTTGACTCTCCTTAGCTTTCTGAAATGGTGTGAGATTGGGTGTGCAGAAAGTGATGAGAGGTGGGTTTTCGGGCTGAGAATGGTGTGGATCTTACTGTGTCAAAAGGATCTTGAATAGCAGATTTGGGGGCTCTTTCAGTAGGGAGGGAGAATCATCATTTTTGGTCGCATTTCCCCTCCCCCCCGGGGTGAATTTCCGTGTGTTTGTGTGCACGAAGCCCCCGAAAGCCCCTTGGTCCCCCCGACTCAGTGTCTCGGTAATCCTTTCCCCACCCCTTTGCGCCAGTCCTCCTGGGTGAGCCTGCTGGTGCAGGTGGCAGCCATGGGTGGGGAAAGGATTACAGAGACTGTGGCAGATGCTGGGAGGACAACCCCAGCCGGAGGACTCTGACCTTCTAATTAAGGAATGATTAGCGGAGATTAAAGGGCCTGGCCGCGATCCTATTGAGCGAAAAGGGCGGGGGCTGAGGAGGGCAGGTGCCCGGAGAAGCCGGCTACCTGTCTGGAGGGGGACCGCGTCGGCTTCCCCGAAGCCTCTTTGAGCCGGCCCTGAGCCAGGGACCCTCCCAGTCGGGAGTGTGGAGAAGTTCCTTTCTTGGCCTACAACTCCCAGCAGCCTGTGGGTGGTGATGGCCCAGGGATGCTGGGTGTTGTAGTCAAGACAGAAACAGCTCCTCCACACCAGGTGTTGCGTCCTCCTTTCCAGCTTTTCCAGAAGTGATCCTGCATCTCAACCCAGGAACCTGTGCATCAAACCGGGTTGCGTTGCAGCCCTACCGACAGCCTGCTTTCTTCCACCAAAGCACGAATCCTTTTCCCTCTTCTGCACCCCATGATCCTGGTCTTATGGCTTGGGTGGAGGCACTATCCTAGGGAGAACACCACTTAGACAGACAGACAGACAGACAGACAGACAGACAGACAGACAGACAGACAGACAGACAGACAGACAGACAGACAGACAGACACACACACACACACACACACACCAGCCGGGAGCTCATTGTGCTGCAGGCTTTTCGACCGGGTAAAACCAAGGAGGCCAAGACTTCAGTTTGGATGGTCTCACGGCCCACGAACCCAGGGGCCGAGACTCCAGCAGAGGAGAACC